AGTTTATAATTTTTACACGCAGTGTTGCTTATAAAATGTGTCCCCTCAGATAAGCAAGATAAGAACAATTAGTGTTATGTTTGAATCACGATAGAGTTTTTTAAAATACTTTTTACTTTTGACCTTAATAAATTTAGTTATGTCCAGATAGCATTTGATATTCTACGAATATCCCAGAATGTTCAAAAAATATACAGAACATTGCGGGAATATCCTGGGAATATACATGGGTGAACATGTATATGAAATGTCCTAACATGAATGTTCGTGGAATACACATGAATGTATATTCATCAAAGTTCATAAAAGGTATATCCTAGGTATGGACATATATGTAGAAATTGTGTATATGTGCAGACGAAAATGCCAGGTATGTACATATTGTGTATATGTGCAGGGGAATATACCTAGTATGTTATACTGAAACTTATGAAATACTGAAAATATGCTGTTAATTAAACCAGACTAACAAAATTTGTCGGAAATAAATTTTGCGTGCCCGCAGCAGAAAAGTAAGGGCACGTACAAGTGAATTATTTTTTTACTTCTAACTTCAGAAAGTCACCATTATTTAATGCTTTTCTTTATTGAGAATTCACATTTCTCTGTCTATGTCAATACTAATGATAGAAAAATACTTAGGTCAATAATGAAAAATGTTGTAGATTTTCATTATGTTAATTTTTCCGATCTCTGAGTTTAACTACTTCGGTACAGAAGCCTATTAAATACCTCGCTGGCTATATATTTATGTATACTCGGTATATTACAGCTTACTTCTTGCCTTAGATACATAAAATACTATTTTATTTATGTTTAGACTTAAATTCAAAAATAGTACGTACTCTCAAATTATTTGCATTGTTTCTTCTTATCCTAGTTATTTATTTGGAAAAAAATTGTGGTTCTCAAAAGAACCGATTTGTGTTTGATTAAGTATGTTCCTACTTTAAGATAGGAAAAAACATACTCTTTTGTTATGCTCGGCGTTTTTGCAGTTTTGGGTTTAGGTGCTTTTGGTGTTTTTCGTTGAGCCTGGTTTATTTGATTGCATTGAAGACGCTAGGGATCACGTGAGAAAACCACACACGAAAAATGTTCGCATAAGATATGGCAAAAATGTAAAGGTATGTTTGTATTTAAATGAAATACATTTGATTATTTTATTATTTCGTGTTCCATACCTACAGGTGATGTCGCTGTTCTGAACTTGAAGACGCTAGAAATCACGTGAGACAACCACACACGAAAAATGTTCGCATAAGACACAAGTAAGGTTGTCTGAACCTAATTACTCTTCTATTAATGTAAAACTATTATCTGTATTTGTTAATTTTTACCAGTTTGATTTTGATTGATTTCTATTTAGCTATAAGCATGTTTTCTTGGATCGGAAGGAAAGCAACAAAAGTAAAATGAAAGTAATGTATCAATGCAAATTGCTCTACCTAACTGTATTTCTACACAATAGAATAGTCTATCAATGTAAAACTAGTAACTGTATTTTGTTGTTGTGACCATTATTAAAATTTGTAATTGCTTACAGAATTTTTGTTAAGAGCATATTGCGAAACACTTTAATAGGGATTAAAAATTGTTAATGATGGATCGAGAAGAAAATGAAAGTTCAAAAGCTACAGAGCGGGAACATGTAAGCAATATAAAATAATAAGTTGCAGTTTTTTAGATAAATGTTTGTGTTTCCGCTCACAGTCACACATCATTGCGACAACATTGCGATTTTTAGTCCGTATTAATAAGTTATATTTTAATTTATTTATTATCCATTTAATTAGTTTTAGTTTAGTTGTAAGTAACTCTTGTTGTTGAAAAATTACAACAACAGTAAATACTTAAATATGTGAATAACTATTAAGATGAAATAAAGGATCGTTTTTCTTTCGCTACATACATATATGTATGTATATTCCCTGAACATACCATATACAGTGACTGAACATACACATGTACATTCACTGAATATACCATGTACATTCCCAGAAAATACACATGTATATTCACTGAACATACCATGAACATTCAGTGTATTAACTGACAGATTCCTGGGACATACATGGAATGTTCATAATGGAACCCATGTATGTCCCAGGAATATGCATGTACATCACATGAATGTTCCAGGTATATTTTGGAATATCATTTTGCTATGTGGGTGCTAAAATAAACTAAGTAATCTAGTAGAAACTTCAATCATACAACCGTCCCCAGGTAGCATTTTTAGTCTAGATGCCGTCCAAATTACATTTTTTGGTCTTATATTGGTACATGGACATAGTGTCTTATATTAATCACATAAGTTAGACGTCCAACTGACGTAAGTAAGTCCCAGCTTTCTGACGTCTAAATTACGAGTTATAAAGACGTCCAAATGGCGAGTGATTAGACGTCTAAATGTGAACACAAAAACACTGGAACTGGTGAAATAGGGACGGTTTTAGGGTTCGAAACTGGCTTTTGGCAATTTCTGGCGAAACGTGACTTCCTAGCGAAAAAGGTTCAATAGGGATTAATGATACTTACTTCTAATTTCAAAAGCACTTTAATCCAAGATCTATGAAAAACTTATGAAATTGAGTTATAGTTTAACCCCTTACAACCCAAATTCAAACTTTCCAATTGAATAATTTGATTCAACCCTCAAGCAAGCCTTGATCTCCTTAAAAAGCAATTAGTACCTCACGGAAAATGTTCAAAAATTAACTTATATTGCGATACTAAACTATAATAATAGTATCCATGCTTCACATGATTACACTCCTTTTCAAAGAATCAAAGGAAACTTGAATTGCCCATAACATTTCTAGAAAAAACATACAATTTCAAACTGCTTACATTCACGACTTAGCAGAAATCTTCAAGGAATTAAATGAAAATATCCACTCAAAAATTAATGCTAAGGAAGTAAATGTACTATCAAAATTAAATCAAAATCCCGATGATCACCCGGAAATACCAGGAGTTTCCAAACAACTAATAATTCACCTCACAAAATGTCCTAAAATGTAAATGCTACAAACGAAATTTAAACTTTCAAAAATCAAAGACATAGGTACAAATGATATTGAATGAAAACATTTCTAATTTCAAAAATAAAAAAAAAGCAAAATGAAGACCTTGCATATATTATTATTACTACAGAAAAATAGGCAATGCCGGCTATTCTTTTAAAATAAGACGCAGTATTGGTTCTGATATGATCAGCATGGTTTAAGTATAAAAGAAGCCACAGCAGAAGCGCCCATATAGTGATAAGTAGGGCGGAATTTTTGAAAGTCTGAAATTTGAATATTCGTTTAGTGGTGTATTCGAATAGTAAAATTATTCGAATACTCGAATATCTAACAATAACAATAGTGATCATTTTGATAAATACAGCAAAGATGAATTCCGAGATCGTTTTAGTTTAACCAAAAACGCTGTTAAACAAACAGATTGTTGCAAACAGATAAACCACAGATTATCTATTTGCTAATTACTCTAAGGTTTTATGCAACAGGTAGAATGACAAAATATATTTGTATAGTTTGTATTTATTTGTTTTTTTCTTCGTAGCTCAACACTTATAGCTTGTAATATTAAATACGCACCAGATCTCTGAAGTAAAATAAACCGGGCAATTTTTTTTGATAACACAATTCACTCTAACCGGTCTTTACAAATTCTTCTTCTTCGTTATATGGCTTTGCCCACAGAATACCAAGCTTTGCCTACATTATAGACTCAATAGTTATGGATCACTAGCTTGGACGTTTAGACACGTTGAGAAACCCTACAACCTACAACTTTAGCGGACCGATAGTTATCGAACCAATAAGCGAATCTACCAGAAACCGGGCATAAGATTTGTCGGTGAGAAATGTGCTGGCGGCAAGTTGTCTAAAGTACGCCTTACAGTTTTGGTGGCGGCAAACATGTCGGGAACAGAAAAAAGAAAGTTATTGGTGATAGGAAAGTCAGCTCATCCTAGATGTATCAAAAACAAGACTTTGTCAGTAAACTACAAAGCAAACGGCAAAGCTTGGCAGACATCGGTCATTTTTAGAACTGAATTGCGTCAATGGGATGAGAAACTAAAGCTTAAAAACAGAAAAATTGTGTTTCTAGTCGACAACTGTCCCGCGAACCCAGATTTTAAGTTAGGACAAATCAAGTTGATTTTTATGCCACCGAACACAAGTGCGAAGCTCCAACCTATGGATCAAGGAGTAATACATTCGCTAAAATGTCATTACAGAAAAATTCTTCTTATGTAAATGTTAGAGGCGATCCATAAAAATGAAACATTTTCTATAAATCTCTTAGATGCAGTCAATTTCATTCATAGAGCTTGGCAAAAAGTTAGCCGAAAAACCATTGCAAATAGCTGCATGGTGGATTTGTAAGAAAAGAAAATTATTATGAACCAGGCGATGCAATTTCACTTAACGAATGTTTAGAAAAGCATAAAGACTCTGACTACGAGTATGACACAGATGGAGATGTGCCCAATGTTGTCGAAGAACAAGTTAAAACCAAATTGAATGCAAAAGGCCCTAAGAAGAGAAGGTACCAAAATTCCAGCTCTCCACGGATCTGAAGGTTTGGTATTTACAGATGGCGGCAACGCTGAGGCGTTTGCGGAAGCAATCGAGAGTGAGGCCACGATAAACCACCATCCAAACGATGACCTACACCACGAAGCAACTGTCAGAAGGACAGTAAATAAGCTTCGGAGTCAAAGTCCAGGCAGCCACCTCCCCCCAACTTTGTCAGCAGAAGTTACATCCATCATCAGAAAAACCAAAGCTAAGAAAGCCCCTGGAAGAGATGGAATCACCAACAAAATGCTGAAGAACCTGCCGAGAAAGGGACTGGTAGCTGTCGCTAACTTGATTAATGCTATTTTCAGGACTGGTTATTTCCCAAGCATCTGGAAGCACGCGGAAGTCATCATGCTCCCGAAGCCCAAGAAAAACAGGATTTTCCTCCAAAACTACAGGCCTATCAGCCTGTTGCCCGCTCTCAGTAAAGTAGCCGAAAGGGCTATACTGAGGAGACTTAAGGAGGAAACGAGCGAGCTTGATTTGCTTGAACAGTTTGGATTCCGAGGGAAATATTCCACGGAACTTCAGCTGCTCAGGATAGTAGAAAGATGCACCAAAGAAGTTAATCAGTACCGAACGACTGGAATACTCACACGGGATGTCGAGAGAGCGTTTGACAGAGTGTGGAGAGACGGTCTCATCTATAAGTTGATGGAAATAGGTATTAACAAGAAACTGTGCCAGTTAATAGACAGTTACATTTGCAGAAGAAGCTTCAGCGTCAAAGTAGGAGGTCACCGGTCAGAAACCAGAAGCACTGAGGAAGGAGTACCGCAAGGAGCAGTGCTCTCCCCCTGAGATACAACGTATACACAAGCCACATCCCGAGACCTGCCAATACGACTCTGGCACTCTTTGCAGATGATACGGCCCTTCTGACATCCTCATGGCGCAAGGACTGCATCAGGCAACAGCTCCAGCTTGCAATTGACGAACTACATCAGTGGTTCATCAAGTGGAAGTTGAAAATAAGAGCAGAGAAGAGCCAGGCCATACTTATTGGCAGGAAGCAGGACAGTGTCGATGGCAACATCACCATAGAGGGACGAAACATCGAATGGGAAAGAGATGCTAGATATTTGGGTGTTGTTTTAGATAAGCAGCTGATCTGGAAGAAGCACATAAACAGCCATCGACAAGGTCAAGGCAACAACTGCCAAGTTATACCGACTCCTCAATCGAAGAAGCCAGATGAGTATTAGTAGGAACAAGCTACTCCTCATCAAGACCATAATCAGGCCGACACTGGCGTATGCCTCCACTGCGTGGGGATATGCGGCCGAGTGTCACTTGAATAGACTTCAGGCCACAGAAAACAAACTTCTGCRGATGGCTATAGACGCGCCCTGGTTTGTTAGAAACTCCTAAATCTASAGGGATCTGGAGTGGGAGCCACTAAGAGAGTTTCTCGCAAGGAAAGCGAAAGCAGACTTTGAGAAAGCTGGAAGCCACTCCAACGAAGAGCTGAGAAACCTTGTCAGTTACACTCCTGAAGATCTGGGACCCAGGAAAAAAGGACCAGACACCAACTAGCCCATTAGGGCAACAGGTAGCAAACGGCGTAAGCTGTAAGTGTGGTTATGTAGTGTTAGTAGTAATTAGCATGCATGTAGAAGTAAGGCGTAAATTAATAAGACGCCCATGCTAGCAAGCAGCTAGCATGGAGAGAATGCGATGCTATGGCGTACGGATGCCGGAGCTCACAAATTCTTAAAGAGTTTTAAAGGATAACTCCCGAAAACTCGTAGTACAAAAAAGATTTTTTTTTAGTTGATATGAATCCAACACTACCCAGCGTTCGGAATACTGCGTGTCTTTGCGAAGATTCTTATTCCTCCATCCGCCGGGCAAGCAAAAAAAACCAAATTGAGTGATTTAAATTTCTTCTAATATCTGAGCATTGATAATGACATTCTTACAAGAGAAATGTTGACCGA